TGTATTAAAGGGATTGTTTTGAAGTTCTACTGTACCAGTCACCTGTATATTTGTTCCCTTAACATGTTCTCAGCAGCCTGGTGTTATGAAAAGTGGTAAACATTTGTTCTGCAGGCCTTATTTTCCCCTAGTTCATCTACCAACTCAGCTTAGAAAGAAGTCCGATAACAAAACCAAAGTTTATTTGAGCTATTGACTAACGAAAATTGGTAACCAAGAATCACTATTTTATGTTGCGATTAAAAAGGACTAACTCTTCAGCTGGAATGCTAAAAAGGAGTTTTGTGGTCACATGCTGAATAGCTTACCAGGATGATTGGTGTAGCCCCTTATCTGTCTCTCTCCTGTGCCCACCCACCACTCCACAGCTTGCCTCTGTCTTTCATACGCATTCTACTTAGCCTTTTCATTCCTCACTTTTCTTCCTATTGGCCTTCTTGATATACGGAGGACATCCAAGAACTTGGGAGGTTCAAGTTGTGTGAGCACTTTCAGTCTGGAACAGTAAAACCTATGAAGCAGCTTTTTGATCCCTGGAAAAAGGAACTAAGAGAAGGGAGGGCTTCTGACTTCTACCTGTCTCAGGGAAAACTCCTCTCTTCAGTTTCATGCACCAAGCTCTGAAAAAGGAATGAAAAACCTAAGGAACCCGATGTAATAGATGACCAGGTGGAGCCCGAGGGAAGGATCAAGTGCATCATCAATCTCAAATCCCTTTGCACCCACAAAAGATCTAAGTCCAGCCCACCTTGAATTCCATTGGCTCTTATCTACCACCAATTTGCTCTAACCATTAATAGTTCAGATTCTTACAGATGGTATATAACATGCAGATAGCAGACTGCTTCAGTTTGGCAAGATTCTGTCTGAAGGTATGCAACAATAAAGAACTTGAAAGAATCAACACATGTCTTTCTTTTTGAGTCTGACGGTTACTTCCAGAGTCTATATGGTCACCTATTTCAAATACTGATCCTAGGCAATTCACAACACTTCATAAAAACATTGCATTTTTCCTCTGAAGCTTCAAGATATTTTGATACCAATCCTTGAACAGTTTGCATTATTCTGCAGGCTCTGCAATTTCTCTGGAGAGAGCTATCTGTCCCTCCCTCTTATAATCCCAAGGCAGTTATAAATTTCTGGTTCCTTTTCCTTTTCCTATAAAAGCAATTAATTTCCGGGAATGGTAGTATTTTGTATGCAGCCAGCCATTTTGAGCTTTGCAAAGTCTTGTGAGGCAAATCAAATTCAAATTAACTGATGAAACAGTACATGAGTTTATCAAGATAACATTACGTTTTATGCAGCAATATTTATCTAACATGCCCTGTTAATAGAGACAAACGTCTGGTGTACATATTGAACACTGTGTCAAAGAAACAACATAAAACATTCCCTCTGTTTTCTGCCTGTCATCAGTGTTTTGCTCAGATTCAGCAAGTGGCTTTTAAGATGTAAGGTCATAGTTTCACAATATGCTAGTGATGAGAAGACATCATAAATGAAATCAGTTGGATTCACCTATCAGTAGTTATCAATACTAAAACATTTTTTGAAAGGATTCATTAATATTTGATAGTGGAAATTATTTCTTTTTTAAAAAAAAAATGTAGGAAATGAAAGGACTCATAATTATCTTTGGAGGTATTTTTGAGGCAGGGATTTAAACATAACTAATGTACAATGAAATAGAAGACTTCACTATCTTAACTGTTATTAATGTTGTGTCACTGATGGTGCTTCAATGTCTTAGAGATAGTTTATTTCAATTGTTCAATATTTGAGGGAAATGTTTCATACTATTACAGTATTTGAAGTATTTATTTCTAGAATCTTTGTACATTTACAAATATTTTTATTTTGTTATTAATGTATTCTGCTTTAACTCTAAAAAGTTAAAGGCAGTGTGTGAGACATCGCTCTTCATATTTACCCTTACAATAACGACGTTGTTAGGCTGGGAGTGTGACAACTGATGGACTACTTGAACTTAGCTCCATCTGGCCCCAGTCATATCACCACCCCACAGGAGCTAATAGCTAAAATCTCCATGAAAATATATTTTGCTGAAAATTCAAAACAAAATTTTGCATTTCCAAAGTTCCAGTCACCCATTCAAGACTGGCCTTCACCTGGATGAAACAATACCAGATTCAGTCAGAACAAAACAAAATCCAGAACAGTTTTGGATGTTCCAGTGCTAGAAAACCATGAGATTACAAACAAGCTGCAAAAATTTGTTTGACTACTAGAGGGCAACAATGGTTGCATTAAATTCTGAGTCTTTCCGCCCATCCATTTAGTGACCAAACAAACTTTTATAGCCCAGATCTGTTAGCTTTAACACTAATCGTCGAATTAAAGCAACAATTTACCCCAAGGATATAAGTATTCAAGCTGAATGGCTCTGTTTTTGATTCCTCACACAAGACAAAACCCATTCCATTGAATATCTCACCTGGAGTAAGAGGTCATTCTGACAGGAAATGTTAAATCAACTCTAGTCAGTCCATTAAAGGGTTAGTTTTCTTTTTTTTAAAGTTTCATAATAAGTCTCTTCTTCTAATTCTATGTTGTCTATACCTGCACTTAACTTCGCAGACAGTCAGAAGACAGACTATCTCCTTCCACCCTAGTATTTAAATATTCCAGAAATGTGGAGTGGGGGGCAGAAGGAGCTGTTGTCCAGAAAAGATAACCCCACCCTGGAAAGTAGAAATGATCCCTCCCAATCAGCAGCTTTCATTTACCTCCATGGCACACAAAACAAAAGAATAATCATGAGTCGTGTACACACCCATGCTCAGCAAAACAATTCTTTTTATACTTAAAGAGAAATTGCATCAAACACATTTGTGCACATCTTTGCTGCAAAAGGCAAAACTGATTTCCTTGCCAAAAAAAAAAAAAAAAAGGACACTATCAACAGAATCCAGTAACTTTCTGCTGGGTACTGTCCGCAAAACATGTTTGTGAAAGTGCTTTTTACATCAGAGCTCTGTAGAAGTACAGAGCAAATTTTTGGCAAATCCTCTTCAAACGGTCCGTATCAGAACACATAAATGCTCACCCAGATGGTTTTTAAATTTGCTTCACAGAAGTTCTAAAATATTTCATTACTTCAAATGTGAAGGAAGCATTTTCTTCCTTAAAAGCAGCTTGCAGTAAAACTACAATATTTGGATAGTGTATTAAGGTTGCAGTTTCACCATGGAGGTTTTTCTTCTACCAGGGGTAGGTAGTCTGTCAAAGAACTATAATTCCCATCATCCCACTGCTGTGTGGGAATAATCCAAACGTAATGCAACACATCTAGAGAATACCAAGTTGAGGAAATCAGTTTTTTCACACTATATCATGCCAAAATAAAATGTACAATGTAGTCATCTGGCATCATTACATTTTAGTTTTTAAATAACATGTTAAACCTTCATCATTTAGAACCATATTGTTCAGAGCAATTTTAACGACTGAGACACATTTCATTAAAGGGCAACCACACTCTAGTTATGAACAACTAACCTTCCTCTGATAGCTTGTCTTTATCATTGCCAAGAGATTAGTTTTTCAACAAGGAGGGAAATTGTTTATGGCTTCAGTTATCCATGGACTGAAGACCTGTCATCCCTTCAGGGTAGATTAGATTAGGAATCCAATATCATCTAGTACAACTTTTTTTGTAAAGCCATAGTAACAAATCTTGCAATAATGTTTCCTTCTCCTTCCCTTTATCTTCATAAGAACTAGGGAGGGGCTTTTCTGAGACATTTTCTCAGATTACATTCCTATCCTGAACAGAGGTGCTTTTTATCTGAAGGTTGTCTTGAGAGTGGGTCTTACTCAAGGTCATTCCCGCTCTTCTGTACATCACCCAATGTTACAAGTTGCCCTCAGAAATACATCATGCACGGAAAGTTGCAATGAAAAATAGTTAACAAATATCTGATAGATCCTTGGTGCTCTGTGACCTTGGTTGTTTTCTTGTAGACATTTCATTACCCAAACTAGGTAACATCATCAGTGCTAGTAAGGAATGGGATTTGTGTTCAATTTATATTCTAGTGCAGACATGTCAAACACAAGGCCCAGGGGCCGTGGCCGGCCCTCTATGTGGTTCCGTACGGTCCGGGGACCTGCTCTGGAAACAGCGAAGGTCCGGTCTGCCGCACCTCAGCCCGGCCCAGGCTGACTGGGAATGATCTACAACCTTTTGTAGATCATTTGCGTCCATCAAAACCAGAACATGCTCAGACTTAGATCCACGGGGCAGCTCCGCCCTGCCCCCTGGGTGCGTGTGCAAGTGGAATCTGGCATCCCTGCTGGCTGTCTTGCCCTGCAGGCTGACTTCACCCAGGACACCGGCACTGGCCATATCCTGTGTGCACACCCGGTGGGCAGGACAGAGGTAGCAGGGCAGTTCCTTGCTGGTTCCAGGGCTGCCCTGTGGATCTAAGGCTGCATACATGAACACATAAAATTTGTCTTATAGTTATACTATTCTTTCTGACTTAAGAAAGGTTGATCATTGCTCCTTGTATTTCTAGATCTATACATGAGTGTATTGCCTAAATAGGAGTATTAGCAATGTATAAATGTCTTTTAATGTTTCACTGTTCCACGGTGTATAGCACTTGATGGTAGCTCTCACTGAACAAAGAACCTCACTTCAGAATAATAACGTAAGATATATGACCCAATAGTATATCTGCTTTCTTGGATTGCTTTGTTATATTCAAGCTCTTAATAACAACTTAGAGCTCCTAAATTTGAGAAATCAAATAAGACCTTCAAACCTTGAGCACTGTAAGTTGAAGATATCAAATTCATTCTTTATAGCTTATTCACAACTTCCAAAACATACATAGACATCTAAAATCTCAATTGTTAGACTGCAAAAAAAGATTGTTAGATTGCTAAAGACAGTCAGGAAGAACTGAGAGAGATGCCTGGAGCGAGAAGAGTAAAAAAAATATGAATAATGCTTAAAATCATTTTACCTGAAGGCCTTCTATGGCTAATCGAAGCATACTTGGTGTCAGTTTAGAAGCCTGTTTGAAAGTGAAATTGCTCCAGTCTATAATCAAAATAAATCCATTTACTTGAAGTTCTGGGTCCTCAATCATGGCTTCTAATGAAAGAAGTATGGCACGTAAAATATCCACCAGTGTGTATCTGTCAACAAATAAAAGCAAAGATGGCCTTAAGATAACCAATAATGTTCAGATGACAGAAGATAAGCCATTATTTTGTTATTATTCGGCAACATTTCAAGATTTCAAGTGGTAAAGATTTCATGAAATATGATTACCATAGCTATTTAAGTACACACATATAAGCCTTCTTTAAGTTTAATAGAGTTAAGATTGGGAAAGTTAAACAGCAGCTATTCAGATAAGACCATATCATAATAATAATAATTGTTCCAGATAGTCTAGCTCTAATATCATCCGAGCAACTCAATACCTCTTTCTTTCAAACTGCATTACATTTTGTTCAATAAACAGAATCAATATCCACCCAGAATAACACGGAATTTAGAACTAACAAGTCTGTGGAGAAGGTTGATGGAGAGGATTAGATAAATTATGAGAATGTCTTTGGGAAAAACCATAATACAAACAGAATATTTTGCATTGAACATGACCGGAATGAAACATGGATGAAATTCTCAACCAAGTTATATGACTAAGTGCAACTCTGCTTTATTTTTTTCCCTTGAAATCTGATTTCTTCTCTCCTTTGTCTTTTTGTTACCTTCAGCATCACTGAACATGCTAATGCAAAAACCTGTGGAGTCTCCAAAATGTGACAAACTACATTTTCAGTGGTTGTATGAATCAGCCTTTGAATAATTAGCTCAGTCATTGCTAGGAGGAAGAGGGGGAGAGAGAAAGTGTTCTTAAACAATAAACAAGATTTTTCTATGCATTGAAAAAAGTAATCCACATCAGAATTTGTCATAAAGGAATTGCAAGATCAGTTACAGTAAGCTAGATAGAAGGAAGGAGCAGAAATTTGGGGAAAAAAGCACATTTATTTAGCGTATTGCAAGCCAACAGGAATTAGGTAAATGTTCTTAAAATATTTTCTACAGAGCTCAGTTCAGCTCTAATTAAAAATTGCTGAAATTTTAATTCATTTTATGTAGTTTTCAGATTCTAAAATCTAAAGAAATCTGATGTTTCCATTCTCACGTTTTAATATTCCATTCTTTCTTCATACGATATTACAGTTATTTCACAATATATCCCAGCTACCGTACTTATCCAGGTCCTTAAACCGAGCTTAATAAAGATTGTTGACAGTTCTACCCACCTGCAAAAATGTCAATCAGTTATTTATTTTAATTAGCAATCAGATTTATAATTCAGAAATATCATGTACCATGCCTAACAAAATACAAAGGAGAATATTGACAAGGAACCTATTAGGAAACTAACCAGTTTCACATCCTTAAAAACATTTTTTTACATTAGGGATGCTTTCCTTTACTAAGAAATAGGTTCAAGATTCTTTCATCTGCATTTCTCAACTACGTTTCAGCATGTTGAAAATAAGCATTCAGTGTTTTTCCATATCTGATCATATGAAAATGTTGCCATAAAGGTTCTCACTAGGTGGGCTCCACAAATTGCTAGATAAAACACAATGTTCATAGTTATAGAAGAGCTATATTCTGTTTTTGCCTCCTTCAGATCTGATCAGGGAAGTGGTAGCAGATATCCAGTGGTGAAGAGATAAAGTGGGAACCATGACTCTGCAGTAATATGTAGAAGATTAGTATTAACAATCAACAAAATTAATCTCTAAGTTAAACCCGGCTGACTTCAATGAAACTTAGCTTTCATAGAGCGTCTCCTGGGTCACATTGTAAACCCGATGGTGTATCACTAATGTCTAAAGAATAATCTAGGATTTGTGATTTATTCTACAGCGTCTAATGTCCCTATTTATGCGTACTGTTAGAAAACCTCTGTTTATGCCATTTCTAAAAGTCTTTATGCCTTAAGAAAACAGATACAATTACCCAACTGGAAATGTAGTAATAAGCAAAATGTTCCTCTTTCGGTTCCAAAATTCAAAGTGGATTTAAATGAAATTTCATACAATCAAAGGACAATCTTACAGACATTTGTTACAATAAGTCTTATTGAAAACAGCAGGAGTTACTCCAGAAAAGGCATGTAGAGAACTCTGTAACTATGCTATGAATTACTCATATTGATGGAGTATGAGGTTATGTCAATACAAATGGAAAAATGAGAACATTTAACAGATAGCGTTTGTTAGATTTCATAGTTAGGTTCAATTGCAGAAAAAGCTCCAAACTGGGATTAAACACAGAATCTAGATGGTTTAGAATGTCATTATCTTACTTCTTTAAATCAATCACCTTTAGTAGTGTTGGTGTTATTTAACTGTAATCTTGGGAATGGAGTAGCGAGTACTTATTTCCTATCAAGTCTCAGCCCAACCTACCTCACAGGATTGTTGTGGGGAAAATAGGAGGCAGGAGCATTCCTGCTTTCAGCAGCAAGAGGAAAGGAGAACTTTATGGATTTGCACCATGAGTCTGAATGGTGTGCTCATCTACAACTTTAGGCACACAGAAGCCCCTTTCATACTTCTCACTGAACTCCTGGAGTGTGGAGAAATGGGGCTAAAGACAGTGATCCTTATTATTATTCTTCATTGAACTTATTATTCATCTTATCAGTGAATGAAATCTTTACATGGAGGGCATAAAACAGCAAGGCTTTTGAGTTAGATACTGATCCCACTAAACCAGGGGTAGGCAACCTTGGCTCTTTTATGACTCGTGGACTTCAACTCCCAGAATTCCTGAGTCAGCCATGCTGGCTCAGGAATTCTGGGAGTTGAAGTCCACGAGTCATAAAAGAGCCAAGGTTGCCTACCCCTGCACTAAACCATATACAGTCTATTCCTGTGCCAACTTTTCCATAGAACTTTTAACTGAAGTTGAAGAGGTTAGAAAACGAGTGAAAGAAATTATCCTGAGTAGCACTCTTCAAAAATAGCATCAGGGCTACAGCTACCCATCAGCCGAACCATTTATCTCAATTAACTTAAGTTATCCTCTCTATGTTCTATCTACTGTATATAGATGTAGATAGCTGACAGCCAACATGGTATGGTGGTTAAAGCGATACAGTAGGAGCAAGGGAGACCAGTTTCTAGTCTTCCCTTAAACATTGAAGTCAGCTGAGTGACTTTGGGCCAATTGTTCCTCCTCCGTCCCTAAATCAGTGTCACTCTCTGCAACAAACCAACTGATAAACAAAATTTCTTGTCGCACCATGCATTGATAGTTTTGCTATAAGAACTAAGCAAACATAGCACAAACAAGCATAGACCTTTCCAACCATGTGGGACAAGTGGTTAAGAGAAACCTCTAGATGTATCACATCTCAGGGTTTTGCAATAGGGCTGTGTGAAGAAGGTGTGTTCTATCTCAGGCACTTAGGCACTTAGCACTGCAGAAACAACATTCATCTGACCCCATGAGAAAACTCAAGAAAGGGCTATTCTGCCCGAACTGCCTGCCTTGCTTAGGAATATTCCGACAGTCCAAACGATGGGATTGCTCAAACCTGCTAGTTAGAGGAAGAATGTAATGATAACCTTATAGAGGTTTAGATTAGAGCAAAGCATCTCTTCAAAGCTTTGCACACAGCACTGCCGTGTGACTATTATGCACATAAGTCTTGGTAAGTGAGGATTTCTACTTAGATTTCTTTAGAAGAAAATATATGTAGCTCAGTGTTGAACTATGGAGTTCTTGATGAGCTTGATTGTTTCCTTGCAGATATTTTATTACCTGACTACGCAATATCATCTGCGCTGATGATGTTCCCTCATTGGGTTATGAAAACATTTCCAAGCAAACAACAAAGCTCAGAAAGCAACAAGGACTTCTCTAAGATTTTTGTTTAGCCTAGAAGATTCCCTGCTATGCTTTTTGAGCATAGAGATGTATTGATGAGAGAAACGGAATCTGTTGAATTCTATTCCTTGTGTCATTTTTATAGATTTCCATGATAAGGGTCCATTTTTTTTCCACCACTCAACATGAATTTTAAATGTTTAGCACGAGGACATGTTCTGCAATTTTTGTATGTATGTATGAGAGATATACAAAATTCTACAAAATCTATTTTCCACTTAATTGGAATAGGAATTTGCTAATTGGACTTATTCAAATGAGAAGCTGTTAGTGGCAGCGGTAGATTGTCTATATCGTGGTTCTTATTCCTTTTACAATCAACTGTTACTTTAATATAATTATGACCCAACAGATAATTATGCATGCATAATAAATTTACAGACAAGCACATTTCTTTTATCTTACACATGAAAAGTCTGGGAAAAGTTAACTGATGGAATCGAAACATCTGAGCTATCCTAACTTATGCAGAAAAAAGGAGGGAGTTATGTCAGTGCAAGCAGGTAAGATAAGAGGCAAAGCTCTAACATATATAGACCAGACCTCTTCTTTGAAAATGCATTACTAAAGCATATCCATCCACAGCAAAGGAGACGTTCCAGAAGAATAAGCCAACATGATACATTCTCTGATTTAACCCATCTAATATTCCAAAACAGATATAGGATCAGCATGAGGAAGAAATCTAAATGCTGTAGAAATCAGACTAATGTTGGCAGGACTACAGGTCTAATGACATTGCTTGGAGTTGATAGTTCAGTTCCCTGCTATGAGCTTTTTGTTTATTTGTTTTGTTTTTGGTTTTTTCCTGTTTTTAATCCTTTAATCCTTTTTCTTGATCCTGACTAAACTATGTTTTAGCAGACTGTTTTAGTGGGAATGCATCAGTGGTGGGATTCAAATATGTGAACAACTGGTTCTCTGTGTGGATGCCGCTTCTGGAAGTCCATTCTGGGCCTGGGCAACACAAAATTAGCTACCGGTTCTGCTGAACTGGTGCAAACTGGCTGAATCCCACCATTGGAATGTATCAATATATTTTAAGATAGTTACAGTTGCAATGTGTACATCATTGGAAAATATGAAAGACCAGGCCAGGGATAGATCATAATGGATGATCCATGTGGTCACTTAGGGTCAACACCAACTTGATGGCACTTAATCAGTTTTAAGATACTTCATTGGCAGACTCTATGCCTCTGAGACATGGTTCTTGTTTTTTTTAAGAAACTAGATCAAAAGTACAAAGTATTCTGGACCGTATAGCTCCATGTAACCTCGTGTAGCTCTATGTGGCCCTAACTGGGGAGCATGTGTCAGTGTGTTGGTAGTGGGTCAGTGGGAGGAGTTTCTAAAGGGCATTGGGAGACTTCCTGGACACAAGCCAGATTGGAATGTCTTTGTCTGAAAGAAGCATGGGCCATCAGATGTTACCCGATGAGCCTGTGCCGCTATAAAGATGGTATGGAAGAGAGCATCATTCTTTCACCTATAGGAATGGACAAAAGATGTATTTTCCAGAAGTAACAACCACAGCATGAATGCAAGTAATCTTTCTGATTAAAATATGTTTTTTTTTGTTATGAAATCATTTCTATTGAGTTTATCTATCTGATTTGATTTATAAGGCATTTTAAATCAAATCAATCTGGCTTGTGTCCAGGAACTGGACACATGCTCTCCAGTTAGGGCCACATAGAGCTACACGAGGTTACATAGAGCTATATGGTCCAGAATACAAAGGGAGTGCAACACTTGTGCAAACTACTAACATTCTGTCAGCAATGGTTTCTTGCCCTTTATACAATCATATTCCCAATCATATTCCAATCATATTACATTGAGCAAAATGATTACATTAGGAAAAGGTTCAATTCAACAGTTAATTTTATACCATGTGTTTTACCCTGTTACCGTGTAGGAATTGCAGCGTCTGAAGTTGAGCATCACTCTGGGTAATTAATTCTGATTCCAACTTCAGTGGAGCTCAGAGGAGGTGGAACCCTATTTTTGAACTCATACACTATTCGGGTCACCCAGTGGCCATGCTATGCTGATATAAAATAAGGCATAGTCAAAAGAAAAGAACAACTGTTCTATAAAGAAGCATCTGGATTGTGTGCAGATACAGTAGAACAAATTTTAATATGAGCAGTGTAAACACTATAAGATCAGAACGTCCTAGTTTCAAATCACTACTCCAGTCATAGCCACACCCACTGGACCTTGGTATTTTCACTAGAATGATGAAACTTTCTTCACTGGATATGAGGCCAAGGGGTGTCAGAATTATGAAAGCAACATCATGGCCTTGTGCCATAAGCTCTGCCCCTACTGTCTGTGCATGTGACATCACAATACAGTCCAAAAAGGGCAGGTTATCTCACTGCATCATTCAAATTTTCCTTGCTTCTCTGTCCAATATTGAAACCCCTAAGTGTGGCATTTGTTTTCTTTCAGTCTTCCAAGACTGTATCTATTGTAGGTACTCCAGGCAATCCTTTCAGGTAATGACTTTTTTTTATAAGAAAGACAGCATATGGTTTGTTAGTTACTGCATTTAATTTATTATGATTGTATTGACCTCTCAGAAGAAAGAAACAAGCCATTGTGGCTCACAAATACCCAATTAACTCAATCACTCTGGGTTGCTGTGTTCCTTGATGGGGAGCTAGTGGGAAAACATGATATTTACCATTTCATTTCAAGTAGGAAGCTACCTTGAGCTATCCTCAAGTGCTTACCCACTTCAAGAGACTATTGTAAAAGATAAAAGAGGAGAACCATGTCTACTGCCTTGAACTCCTTCAAGGAACTGTCAATGAAAATAAAATAAAATATATCAATAAGAAGTGAGAATAGGATGGCATAAAAGTCTTCTTCATGAATCAGAACTCTTTAACTCAATATTGGACAGATCTTAGGCTTTATAACATTCACAAAAGACATCATGTTACTAGGATAAACTGGAGGGACATTAAAATTAATAGAAATTTTGTCAAAGCAGGTTTGAACATATCACTTTCCTGTTTCATAGATAAGTTCTTTTATATTAATATTACTGCTTCTGGTAAAGAAACGGATGCTGAATCTGCCAAGAAAGAAGAAACATAAATTTGCCTTTAAATTTTATAGGTGTTGCTAAACCTTGGGAAACCTAGTTCATTTGGAAAAGTAGAAAACAGCAACATGGGTAACAACATTGCCAAAATATTATTTCTCTTGCATTATTCTTGCCTCAGTGGCCGAGGCCTAAACTGGGGTGCCTGGAAGCTATGGCGACCTGGATAGGGAACCAGAGACTTCAGCAGAACCCTGGTAAGATGGAGTGGCTGTGGATGAGGAGCCCTCTGCATCTGGGAGTTTATCATCTTTGGTCTTAGATGGGATTGCACTACACAGACAGACCTGATGCATAATCTCGGGGTCCTCCTGTACTCACAGCTCTTGCTTGAAGAGCAGATGGCAATTGTGGCTTGGGGGGCCTTTGCTCAACTGCATGTTGTGCATCCGTTATGGCCCTTCCTCAATAAAGAGGCCCTTTGCTCTGTCATTCACACCCTGGTTAATTCCTGTCTGGAATACTGCAATGTGCTCTACATGGGTCTACCCTTGAAAAGTATCTGGAGACTTTAGTTGATACAGATCAGGACCACATCAGCAATGTTGGGCTTCCCAAGGATGGTGCATGTAACACCTCTGCTGTGAAAGCTGCATTGGGTGCCAGTTTGCTTCCAGATCCAATTCAAGATGTTGGTTAGGGCCTTTAAAGCCCTACAGGCCAGATTACCTAACAAGTCATCTTTGGCCCATTACTTTGGCTCATCCCACTCAGTTAGGCAAGGAAGGTATGCTGCAGATCCCACCGATTTAAAAATTTCAAGAATGGCCTTCTCTGCCATTGCCCCTGCCCTTTGGAACATTCTTCCCCCAGAGGCGAGGTGCCCCCCCCCTCTCTTGGCCTTTTGGAAATGCTTGAAGAGCTACTTCTGCCAACTTGCTTGGGAATGACAGAGGAACACCCAACCTTTGGGGCTGGTTAGTGCTCTGAAGTCATTCCTTTGCCTTTTAATTATTTTATTCTTATTTTTAACTATTTTTAACATGTTTATATATAGTTTTTTAAAAATATTTTTGAGTATTTATTCACCACCCAGAGTCACTCTATGAAGGAGATGGGCAGCTCTAAGTATGATATATAAATAACTAATCCAAAAATGAACTTCTCAGAGGTACACAACTGGCACCAGCATTACAACCTTAAATTACAATTAGGTTTCGAGTGTGTCCATTGCCTTAGTTGGCTTGCCAACTTTATCCTTGGTTGTCTTTTAATTTGCCATTGCCATTGTGGGTTTTTTTGTACTTGTACTTTAGTTTCAATATTTTGTTATTGTTGTTGTTGTCTATTAGCCTGGAATCAGTTGGACCTAAGATAAGTTAGAAAGATTTTGAATAAATAAATAGGTTGGCAAACCAGGTCAGGGGACAAATTGCTAATTGCATTAGCACCTTCTGTTCAGGGTCCAAGAAAGAGTAATTGAGAATGAACTTCTGATTAGTCACTGATGAGAAACAAATCTCCCCCCCCCCTTGATGGGGAGCTAGTGGGAAAACATGATATTTACCATTTCATTTCAAGTAGCAAGCTACCTTGAGCCATTCATTGTTTTCACCATTCATTGTTTCCATTCATTGTTTTCACCATTATCTTGTAATCGAAGCTCTATTGCAGGGGTCTTCAAACTTGGCCCTTTTATGACTTGTGGACTTCAACTCCCAGAATTCCTCAGCCAGCATGCCTGGCTGAAGAATTCTGGGAGTTGAAGTCCACAAGTCATAAAAGGGCCAAGTTTGAAGACCGCTGCTCTATAGGCACACCTAATCTCTGCACATTGTTTTTTTTCCCATCACAGAATTTCAAGTTTGGGAAGAACTTTTTAAAAATTAATCTAGCTCCTTCCGCTGAATTGAAAAAACAATTTCACTCCTGCACATTAGAATCAAAGTTTCTAATGAGCAGGAGCCAATATAAGAATAAAGATTCTTATGTCATTCCTATCATAAGTTTGGAATGGAATATCACTTAGGTCAAAAGGGGATTTGAACCCATTATGATGACATCAAACATATAGACTGCAGCACCATGGTAGATTCAGATGAGCAACTTAGCCTATCCCACCTTCCCCCCATGAGTTAAAATCTTTACCTGCTTTGGTCCCAGTTGGCAGCAAATAGCACCAGGATCTTCCTGCCATAATGATCAAGGTTGGCCAACCCTCCAGGGAAGCCATCCTTGAGTGCTTGCTTGATGCCTGGATCAGTGGCTTTGAAGCTCTTGAACATATCAAGGTTCTGCTGACGATACTCAAAGTATTGGGCCAACAAGCGAAACGCTTCAAAATGCTGGAACTTTCTGGCCCTCAGGAAGCGAAGAATAAAGGCATCATCTGTGCGAAGAAAGCCAATGTCGGGTCGGGTGATCACCATGTCCCGAACTTCCTGGATGTCTTGGTGCAGAGTGTCTGGGTTCTCATTCAGTTCCAATCGGGCCTTCTCCAGGGTCTCTGGAGACAGGCCTGCCTGCAAATGAGTCATTGTGCCACTTGGTCCGATAGTGGTTCTTTTTGCACAGAAGAAGGGGTGGAACCTCCAAACTGCCACAAAGCTTGAAATTCAGTCTCTTGGTTTTGATTTATGAAACCCTCCCTTCCATTTCTAGTATCCGACAAGTTAGGTAATTCTTTGCTACCAATCTCTCCAACACTAAAGCCTAATATAGTTCAATTAATATATGCACCTCAATTCCAATCTGCCCTTTCCATCTCCCAATTAACTACACAGACACACACAATGCTGTTGCTCTGCTCTCCTTTCTGAACCCCAAATCCCAGCCTTCAAACACCTGTCCACAGCTTGAAGCTTCAGGAAAACTATAACTCACGTTTAATTGAGCCCAATTATTCTCCTTCTGCAGCAATTGCCTGTTGATGACTAGAAATAATGGCTCTGACAGGGCCCAAGCAGAGAGAATGGGGCGTCCTCCTTCCCATTCAATAGTGATTTAAACAATTGGGCGAGGGGGAAAAAAAACAGCACTAAAATAAAATGCCTTGATCAGCAGATACAGATCAGCATTATGATGCCAGAGAGAACAAGGCCAAACAGCCGTACAGTGACTTTGCCGGGAGTGCAGAAGAGGTTGAGGTAATTAATTCCTCCACCATAGGCACACTCTAATATTTCCACCCACTTCTCCCTGCAAATTAGAGATCTTCACCTTGGCGCTGCTGAAATAGCTAAAGAACTGCAATTTCAATAAATACGATCTAATGCCAAGCTTTCAATAAAGGTGTTTTCCCTGCCTCCCTCCCTCTCTCTGAGCAATTCCTGTATAGCATTTAAAAACCAATGTGTGGTAGGGGTTCAAGAGGCATGTGCTGATCAGCTGGATAAGTTGGATTATTATTATTTTTTAATCAATTAGCTGCTGCTTCTGATACCCCCAAGCTTTTTAATCTCCGGAGCAGGGGATGTATTCCTCTACCGCGTCTTTCACTCCCCCTGCCCACTTACACAGTGACCTCATCTAGTACCAGCAAGGCTGCCGTCTGTCCCTCTCCGTCGCCTCTAGAAAAAAAAAGGGGGGGGAGAGAGAGCGGGGAGAGGCCGGGGGTGAAATCTGGGTCCTTTTCACTCACTGACGGAGCAGGTCTTTTCGCCTCGCAGGGATCCCAGCCATCCGCCGGAAGAAAGGCATTCAGAGACAAAAAGGAACAGCCAAGTAATGCCTACCAGCCAAGCAGCCAACAAACATACACCAGGCAATGCGGCACCTTCCGGCATCCATCAGCCAAGACAGCAACTCCTTTGGATGGGAGGCAGCGGCGGTCAGAAAGGAGCAGCCGATGAATCAAGGACGGGCCTGTGGGCTCAGGGCTCCCGTCTTCTCTCTCCCGTCCCCTCCCCTCTCCCCTCTTCTGCAATGGTTGTCCAGGCACCAGGGCGTGGAGGCGGCGTGTCCTCCTCGCCGGTCTCTTCGGGGGATGCAGAGCTACTGCCAGAGGAAAGGTGAAGCTGGGCGGCCGGCGGTAGCCAAGCGCTTCCCCGCTACCCGCCCGCCTTTGTGTTCCTGCAGGAGCGGCCGGTGACTTCTGCTGTGGCTCAGCCTGGTGATGGATGCGCCGCTTCCAGCAGGTCTACGTCAATCAAGGCTCCCTGGGCGGCTGCAGCCGCCGGGGCAAGTTACTTCAGATCAAATCCCCCGCCCGAGCCCCTCGCATTGTTGTTACCCAGCCCGATCTTTCCTCTCTGGCTCCAGAGGCTGGGTTTGTGGTGCGGGGAGGAGGACGCCTCGGCGGAACAGCGCGGGGGGGGGGGGAAGAGCAGTTTTCCAATAATAGCCCCCGAGTCCCACCACAGCTTGGCCTTCCACCGCATTGCTTTCTCCGGCACTTCTTCTTATTCGATCAGCGGAGCACTTGTATATCTATACCGTCAATCCATTCCCCAGAGTCACCCCAGATTCCTCCCCTCCCTCGCCCCCATCGACTCTCACCGCCCAGTCGCCCATTTGCTTGCGATGCCCCAACTGCGGGACATCTAGTTGCTCAAAGCTGTTTGGGGGCATTGGGTGAAGCGAGGCCTGGTCGAATAATCTTATCGGGGTGTTTCTAATAAGGAAAGCAAGTCTCCCTCCCCGCCCCCATTCAATACTGTGAAGTGGGCGGTATATTGTTCAAGCCCGTTCCAACCAGCAACACATGTGGAAATATTACAAGGGAAATTCTCATTGACAGCTTCTTGTTTGTAATCTTTCAGAAATGGTATCTGGGGCAAAGCCATACACTGCTACCATAAATTGAGCCAAATCTACTTCACCCTTGTCTCCTACTGTCTCCACTAGATACACATGTGATACACATGAAATTTACTCTTCACTCTCTCAGCTCATCCTACCTTACTGGCTTGTTGTGAGAAGAAGAAGAGGGAGCATTATGTAGGCTGCCTCAAACTCCTGAATGAAACACAGAATATACTAAGAAATAAATATTGTACATTCAAACACTGGGTTCAGTGACAAGATTAAGCAATGTGGGCTTATTTTGCATTGATCCTCACCTCCATCTAATTGCAGCACAAAGATGGTTTGCTCTTTCTAGATAGTACCCCAGTTCAGTTCAGGGTTTGACTGTGGCAAAGCCAGGAATAAAATGAAAAGGAAGAAATTTGAAGCCCCTCCCAAAGGTTGTTTAAATATCCTCTCAACCTCCCTATTTGCATAGCTGATTGTTGAAATACAGTATTAAAAGACAGTGGAAGATCTACAGAAGGATATTTGCATGCATTAAATATAAGGAATTAAACAAATATCCACATTCTCTGCCCATCCTTTCTTCATGCCCAGAGGAAAGGTTTTTAACCAAAGCTGATGCTGCTAGACTCCATTATATATTATGTATAGCCCTGCATCTTCTATCATATGCCTTTTAAACGTGTCTTTTTTGTTGTGCTTCTGTAATTTTAGATTCCTTTTTTAACCTCATTCTAAAGATGGTCTTTCACCATCCTTCCAATATTTCTTTAATATTCCCAAACTGATGCATGTTAGTTTACTTTCTATTTACCCTTACTTATGCACTTTCCTTCAGCAAGAAAAGATTAAAGAAATAGGAATGGAGACAGTGATAGCCCATATTTTAGCCAAACTAATGAGGTCTTGCTGAAAGCTACTTCTCGGGTATAGCATTAGCTCTCTCTTGTTGTAGAGAGAGATTTTTAGAAAGGGAATTTGACAGGAAGCTTCCAGATATATTGGGTAAAGATTGACAGCAATTTAAAAGAGAGACTCCATTTTGCTTGGCAAAAAATACAAAGCTTTGGCAAGGATTCCCAGGATTCTCTGTCCCTACCTGCTTTCCTGAAAGTTTTTTTTTCCTATCCATTGAATGGCATTTGTCAATTTGAAGATATGCTCAAAGGGCAAAAAATGTACTACAGGCAGTCCTCAACTTACAACCATTTGTTTAGTGATCACTTAAAATGGCAGAAAAGGTCATAAAATGGGCCACGATTCACTTAATAACTGCCTTGCTTAGCAACAGAAATTTTGGTCCCAATTGTTGGCTGTAAGTTAAGGACTCCCTGTAGTTACTAAGTAAGATCTGTAACTAGCTAGATAGTTATAATGTTTTGATGCCAAACATGAAAAAAAGTCTATAGAGTCATTAGATGATTGATAATCCTGTAGTTCAATTTATCATCTCCAGCTGCTGTTGATCGAACAGTACCATTTGTTTGGGGGTCATCCTGAACAATTTCCTGCCTCTCACCAATCATCATCTTAAAGAATCTCCATTCTTTTCCCTCTCCCTTTCAGTCCAGGCAAAAGAAGGGAGGGGAAAAAAACCATTCCCTCCCCTTTCAACTTGTCATTTAATGTTTATTTTTCAAATCCTAGGTGGGAAGTTGGTTTTGGTTTATTTTAATTTGCTAAGATTTGCCCAAGAAAAGTGTAAAAATGTTTCTCAAATATAGTATTCAGGGTGGAGGAGGAGGAATTCTTCTCAGTTAACAACTCTTTTTCCTAGTTTTATTTCCTTCTGAATCAGAAAGAAGCTAAAGCAGTGATGGCGAATCTTTTAAAGACCGAGTGTCCAAACTGCAACCCAAAATCCACTTATGTATCATTGGGTGCCGAGTGGGTGTGGCCCATTGGGTGGGTGTGGCCCATTGGGTGGGCGTGGCTGTGATGGTAACGGCAGACTGGGTGGGACTAAAAATTTCAATTAATTCCAACTTTGCGAGATCTTTTTTTTTCCCACGAGAAGTTGAAATTGATTGATTGATTGAAACTTTTTTTTTTTTGCACACAGCAGCGGAGGCCTAAAGTGAAAAGGTTTTATAAAACCCAGCTGAAGGCCTAGGACTGGGGCGACGGCGCGCATGCCCATAGAGAGGGCTCTGCATGTCACCTGTGGCACACGTGCCATAGGTTCGCCACCACGGAGCTAAAGTGTCTCCATCGCAAACCAGCAAATATATTCCATTGCAGCAAAAGAAAAGCCACTGTTTCCTGCTTCTTAAACCAGAAATCCTTTTCCACTTTAGTTACCAAGAAGGTAACCTTTTTTTTCTTTGCCAAGTTAAGCTGTGTCCCACAACTTGCTCAAAAGGTGTGCATGTGTGTGGGAATGTTTTACCCTTATCTGAGTGACAAGACATTTGAAACCTTTTCTCCTTAGTTGCTGCAGCAAGAAGCTTTAACATTACATATTTATTTATTTATTTATTGTTTTCTGCAGCTATAGCTGAACTCTGTGCATGCTTCGTTAAAGTTAACCAGCTTTTTTTTTTAAATTCAGTCTTTGTTTTTCTCCCACTGAACTGAATGTATTAAATTCTCGGTAGATTATTTACTGCTTCTTACCTGATTGCTTCCCTCACATATTCTTTGTGGTAAATTCACTGTAAGTTGTCAGATGCTTACTGATTGCCTTGCATATAATTAGTTTTAAATACCATTTAATAACATGTATTGATTGGTTATTAATTATTAAGTATAATTTCATGTTTGGACAGCTTGAAGACATAAACCT